ATTATTTATTTAATAATATTTCTCTTATGCGCTCTATTTTTCAATTCATGCTTCAATTTTGTCCCATTTTTACCCCCAAAATTTCAGTCCATGTCAGTATGTGAAGCGTGACTGTTGTGTCAGCCTATCTATGACCCTAGGCCTAGTTTAAGGAGGGCCCTAGGTAAGACCTCATCTCAGCCTGTAGTTAGGCCTATAGTTTATCCTCTTTCTCTAGCCTTTGGTATAACTTTACCTATCTACACTTTATAACTGGAGGTACTACGCTGCTGCTGCTGTTGTAGATAATATACTAACATTTAATAACACCCAAGAAGGTCACAGTTAGCTACACAGTGACGTACATCACATAAGTCCGTGAGATTTCATAGGCCTACCGTAGGTAAACATAGAAAGAGCAATAATAGTAAAACTCGAGCGTCACGACATTGCGAAGTGTCTGCTCTTGTTCCTCGTATCGTACTCACTCGAGTCAATCCGAGATGGCCCGAGTGAAGTTTCATGCAAATGTTTCGTACGGAAAAAAAAATCGCACCCCGGCAGGCTAGATAGGCCATACAGTTTGATAGGCTGTACCAACCCAGCCGTACACGGCTGTGGATTGAGAACAGCTATTTTGTACCGTAATGATAATCACGTTCACAGACTGTAAGAGATTTCCGAATTAAAATATTGTTGAAATGGCATTAACGTTGTATGTTAATTATTGTTTGACTCGATCCATGTGAAAAGTGGCGGATATAGGACTTCAATTTGGGGTTGCCAGAGTTATAAACCCCGAGTTGGCAATCTTTAGAGACAGTGCCCATAGATGGCGCTTCGTTTCAAACATCTATTAAAAGTCGACAAAATCAGGGTAATTCACTGGATGTGCTTCTCCCTCTACATCTGACTGTGATCAAATAATTTTGAACATGGTGAGATAATATTAAGAAGCTTTCGATTTGTGCGACGACGCGACGCTAGAACGGCGTCCTACGTTCTCTGCATACGTAGATTTGGCCAAATTGCGTTCCAGAATCTACTCGACGAGGTGACCTGATGATGACATAATTAATGTCGAAATATTAAATCCCAACACGATGGCGTGTATTTCAATACTTGGAGTATGTATTATACTTTCTTAGGTGACCTTAACGTTCTCGCATGCGCAGATGACTTTTAGTGACGTCATTACGTTCTACGTCCTACCGTCGTCGTTCAATCAAAAGCTGCCTATTCTAAAGGTCTATCCACACAATACAATTTTAATAAATGCCCATATTTGGGTGTGATGTGATATCATAATCCTCGTATATGGACACATCCCACAAATTTGTCACAATAGTTTCATTTCATTTCATTTATTTATTAGACACAAAGGCTCTGGGACTTCTAAAGAAGCAATTAACCCTATGACTCAGTGAGCCAGAAGTCCAAACAAAACACCAAAAACATCAATAATATTACAATAGAGATTCGGTTAAAATTTATAAAAATAAAACAATGCATGAAATGTAAAAATTATATCTACATCTGAAGACTAAAAAGATATTCTTTAAACGTATTCAAAAATACTTTCCATAATTTGTGAATTGTAATTTGTGAGTGTCATGCCTGATTTCTTTTTAACTTTTGATGTTGCTCTTTGCATAATTTGGTTATGTATTTTTCCTCTTTTGTTTCCATTTTGAAAATAATATCAATATAATACTGTACTTTTCAATTATTTTCTTTTCAAAATAAATAATTGCCTGTAAATTTCTATGTCTGATTTTGTAGCTTTTGATGAAGTTTGTTGTATGTTTGACGACTTTCCCTGTAATACCTCTCTGGTTTTTAGCATAAAATAAAAACATAACATAAAAAAGGAACAAAGTGTGGACGAAGCTTTATTTTGTATGCCCTGCTTTTTTTTTTTTTTTTTTTTTTTTTTAACTTTCGACTCTTATTCATTATCGACAATTACACTTTGAGTTTCAAAGAGGTACAGTTGCAGGATTAAGGCAAACAATTAAATCTTTCAAAAATAAAACAAAAATGATGTTAATGATATGATTTTATAATGAAGATACACTGAAAATTACTGTTATATTATAATAGATAAAAATAATATATTGTTTGTAATTTCAATTTATTGTTTATCACCAGACTTTTAAATTTAATGTTATGAGATCAAGAATAAATATTTATCTGCCAAATATTTTAATTGCCAATCGTTGCTTAGATAAACACATTTTTGTCCAACAGAGAGTTGGAGTGGGGAGTGGCCTCTCTACTCCCTGCCCACCAATGGGGAGCCAAATTCAGGGTGTGTTTGTCCCTACAATATGACTTGGGGCCAGGTGCCGCTGTGTATGCCTACCTCTAGTGAGGGCCCAATCACAATACTAACGTTTTTGGACTGTTTGAGTGTTTTCGACAATTTGGATGAATGCAAAAACGATAAGCTTCACCTAGATATTTTGGATGTCTACAACTAGGCTGTCTATCCTGAAATATTAATAATTATTTTACAGTTTGATTTATGTATATGTACTAGGCTACTGAATTCACTGAAATAAAATTATTAAAAGTTGAAAGATAAAAGTTAGTGATTTTTCATACTTCTTGCTTCAAATCCACAATCAATCATTTAAAAACGTATAGCCCAGCTGCATATATATAGACTGAATAAAAACGAAAAATTAATATCAATCTATCCATAATACGAAAAGATTACTTTTTTGGATGAGATGCGTGAAAAGCTGGAGAATATGGAGAATATGGAGTATCCTGCCGAAGAGTTTCTTTTCTGCGAGTTGCGGGTTGAAATATACGAGTTACAAAATGCGAGTTGCGAGTTGGAAAATACCGTATAACAAATCTCAAGTATTAGTTTATGATCATTGGCAAAGCTCATCAACCTGTTTGGTCTTAAAAATTTAATGTACAGTATGTGCAATTTTTTTATTTTTATCTTTTTATATTATCCAAATGATTCAAGATTCAAGAGTTGTTGCGAGTTGTGAGTTATTCATTTGAGTAGAATCTCCTAAGATTCTGAAATGTGAAATTAATTTACTAAAATGGTTGAAAACCCTTTTTCTAAAATAATTTCAGTCTCATCTACACATTCCACTTATCATACCATATTTTATCATTTAAACTCCCACAATAATGCCCTCATTCATATCGCTTGTTGTACATCCCGCTTGTGAAACATCATTCCTTCCATATTTCCTTGCCCTTTCATACTCCTTGTCTTTTGTCACTTCCACAACGCATTCCTTTATAAAGTAAGCTCTCAACATGTAGACAAATATTAACCAATCTTTTCAGTCTCTTCATAAACAATATAAAAAGGAAAAAAATTACTCAACAAGGTATTAAATGAAATATAAATTTCCTAAATTTCTTAATAGAATTACTAACAAATATCAACTTCAGGATAAGTATTAGATTTCAGATATACTGAGCCAGTGAATACAGTAAATGCCAAAATCAATGATAAGCCATAATTTGGAGACTATTGCTCATTATGCAAAACAAGTACAATGATTTGTTTTGATATCTTGCTTGTATGTCTTATGTGTCAGCACACAGGATAGAATGTATCATTAATATTATTATTATTATTATTATTATTATTATTGTTATTATTATTGTTATTATTATCATAATTATTATCATCATTATTATTATTATTATTATTATTATCATCATCATTATTATTAATAGCATTTAGCCCAGGATGTTCATTTAATTTCCAAGATACCATGTGAATATTTTGGCACCCCAAACCTTAAGTCTATGTTTTTTTTTATCCAGTAGTGGAAAACTGAATTGATTGGTTTGTTGTACATTAAAGACAAAAAGAGCCCTGGTTTGATAAGGTTTTACACCTCTTGTAAGATCTGTTTTACTTTGTATTAGGCTACAGTGGACTGAACACAGCTAGATCGGCGCTTTTAGCACTGTGTTCTCAATGTCACCAGACACAGAATTGAGCTTATAACTGAATTGATTGGTTTGTTGTACATTAAAGACAAAAAGAGCCCTGGTTTGATAAGGTTTTACACCTCTTGTAAGATCTGTTTTACTTTGTATTAGGCTACAGTGGACTGAACACAGCTAGATCGGCGCTTTTAGCACTGTGTTCTCAATGTCACCAGACACAGAATTGAGCTTATAAGGTTTAATGTTTAAATGTGTTATGCTGTTAGGCGCCTATCCCTAGTTTTGGCCGCTCGGGGTCAGTCTCTTAATTTATTAGTGAATGAGTAAGGAGGCAGATTCTTCCATTTTTATGACATTGGGGTTACTAAAACAAAGCCACCCTGGTTCTTCTAATTTTCAAGTTGTTTTAAATCGTTACATTGATGAAGATGTATATGTGTTTATAAGATATTTAGTCCG